CCTTTACGTTAAGGTTTAGGGTCGTTAGTTTTTATTTTTTACTTTTATTAATTATTACTAGTATTTACTTGTGTAATACTACACACACATATATATATATATATATATATATATATATATATATACATATATTATTGTTGTTATTTTATTACCTTTTTGTTTTTACAGCCATAAAAGGACTTCCAAACTCCATTTGGTAGATCTGGCTGGATCTGAAACTGTGAGAAAAACCAAGTCACAAGGGGACAGATTTAAAGAAGGTAATAGTTTGTTTTCATGTGCTTGAAATAGATTTGAAGAAATTAAGAAATATTATGTTAGAGTTTCCTTGGCCTGAATACAATTACATTTTACTATAAATAATACACTTGCATTTGTCTTTCTGGAACTTTTCTTGCAAATTTCGTGATCAAACTATACAAATCTCATATCATTAGAAAGGCCTTTTATCTGAGGAGTCTGGATTGCATATTGGCTTTTCAGTTCAGAATCGCCTTACCTCTTTTTGCTCAGTCAAACTTTTCAATGAAACAAGTATAATACATGATGGCTACTTTTTTCTTTACTAAGGGTTTTATTCTTCGTTTTTGTGAGTTTCTGTTTCAACTCTTAAAACTGTCATACACTAAATGCTCATAACAGTTTCCTACTCTAAACACTATTATAAATACCATTACTCTATTGTTTACTTTACATGTAGTTTTATTAAATAAAGTTACTTCTATGTGAATTTATTTCTCTGACCTCTTAAATTTTTTTCAAATACATCAGGATTTATTAATCTAACACATAATGGCTGCAAGAAAGTGTAGGTTAAACAGTGTATGTGAAAATGATAGAATAAGGAAATTTCAAGCAAAAGGCACGACAACTATCACAAATGTTTTGCTGATCGTGAGTAGTTTTAAATATTCTTATATCCTATTTAAACTGATAGAAGTTAATCTTCATCATAGAATTTCATCCTATTCTTTATTTTCAGGTGTTAACATAAACTTGGGTCTTCTTGCTTTGGGCAATGTTATCAGCAACCTTTGTGCTGATGGAGGTCGAAAACAGAACTACATTCCTTACAGGAACTCGGCTCTTACTAGGATTTTAAAAGGTATGTGATTTTTGTATTATTTTTTCATAATAATTTTTTTTAGCACTTTAAACATGGGTGGGCCACTTTACGAGTTTGAACATCATGATGCCTTACATTTTAGAACTCAGAATTTATTTAGTGTAACTGCATGAACTTAGCAGTCTTTTAACAAATATTACAAGTCTGCTGTACTAAAAAAATCAAGAATTTATAGTAAAAGCTTTTCTGTGAATTTTCAAAGCCTTTACTGAGTTAACCCTATCACCACAGGCATCATTTACTGCACATGTCAGTGACTTACATTCAAAGTTTAATTGAGCAGACTAAATACACAACCTACCTCATTGAAATCTTGGTTCAAAAGAAAGAGATGGCATCCAAACACATTAAAATAGCTGAGAAAGCCACTAGGGGGACATTCTGAGCTTCCGATTGGTTATTCATGTCATAAATAGAAGTAAGTGTATATAAGGGAGCATTTTCAAAAATGGAAAGAGATGGGTGGGGTGCCACTGTGGATGAACTGATGATTGTCCCATGACAGTTTTCAGTGATTGGGAAGTTTTGGAATGGAACAGCTTTTTTTCCCCCTCTTGAATATGTCTTTCAGTTGTGTGTTATTTTAGGGGAATAGCCCAGACCTCATTTCCCCTTTAGTGGATTTGATTATTCGGATATGCTATGTTCTGTACTTATCTCTATGTTGCACCCCTTCCCTTCTCGGGGACTAGCCTTTCGGTCATCATTTCGGTGTTTCTTCCTTCCCTTGATATTGGGGTTCATGCGAGTTGTTTTGGGAACCATTTACATTCAGGGGTCAATATGCTGTGGACAATCATGCTTTTGATTATCATTGATCCAATTTCTCTTACTTGAACTCACAGCATTTGGTGTCACATCTCCCTTAGGGGAGATCAGACCCCAGTTTTATCAATTACCTCTGATCATCTGTCTTAGGTAATGGCTGGTAGGGGCCAGACTCCTTTGTTTTGACCACATTTGGAAGTCAATCGATAGGTTCTGAAAGTCATTTTACTTAGTCTGGTCCTCTACTTCCATTCATCCTCTCCATTGTCTCACAATGCTGTTTACATCCCTTCTTCTTGATATCCTGTTTTTGCCCACCTGATTAATTCCATGATATTTTGTTTCCACTGTTCTATGGATGTATTGCTGCTTCTTGCCTCCCCACAAGACAATTCTGTCCTACATCCTCAGTTTGTTCTCCAGGACACTGTCATGATGGGTTGGCTTGTCAAAGTGGAGCATTTTTGTCTCCAACCACACAGTTTTTTGGTTCACTTACCCAGGTGTTTTTCAACTCCCTCCTCTGTCAGGCCCTACCTGCTCCACTTCAGTTGCAAGCTATGGAATGTCTCGTATGCAGCATCCCATCCTCTCCTTCTCCTACTGGAATAGAGTTGCTCTATTTTGGAGACATGGGCTTCTCTCAAAATCCTCATTCCTCTTGGTCGTACCCTCATGCATCATCATCAGTGGGTTTTGTAGACCAATAAAGCCTTGATTAGGATCTCTTAGGTGCCCTTCTTATCATTATAGACTGACTTTGACTGGTGGTTAGATCGGAACAATATTACCATGGATGTTTCTCCACCTCGTACAGAATGTCATTCAGAAGGTTTTAGGCCAATGGTCTCTTTGTGAGTACTCTCTCCATATCAATCTTTTGTATCATCTGTCTGAACCTGCATTCTGTCTTCACAAGTGGCTTTGTCTGATCCCAAACATGAAGGGCTGGATTTTCGTGTGTAGCTTCCTTTGTTTTCCATCCTGTTCATTCTTCCTCCATAGTGGTTTACCTATGTACGTGATACACATACCACTTTTGGTCTGTCCTAAGTGATTATTGTCTTTCCTATCCTACAGTTCCTCACATACCATCCTTTTTGCCTTGGCATTTTGAACAGGGCCTTTCAGTTTCCTCTGTTGTGGGCTATAGGGTGGCATTATCTGCCATCTTTTGATTTACCAACTTTCCTTGTGTTTTCCAGTTGCCAGTCTTATCCATGTTATTTCATTCCTTCCATTTTTTATCACTCTCCTTGCCCTGCTTCCCTTTCTGATTAGCATCTCTATGTGGTTTTCCCTATCCTCCATTGTACTTTTTGTCTTCGTGTTCTTTAAATCACCTTTCCTTGAAGTCCCTGTACCTGCTTTTGTTGGTGTGTGGACCTTGTTGTTCTGATGTTATATTGATTGAAATTTTACCACGTTTTTGTTTTCTTAGTTCCCATGTTCTCCTGTCTCCTGATCTTTCCTTTATGCCCAAGATTGCAGCTGCTCAAGAGAGTACTTTTCCCACCTTTATGACCATTGTGATCCCACTTGCCTCCTTTGCCCGCTCAGGGGTCTCCAATGGTATATGACACGTACTGCTCCCTTCCGTGGTTTCTAAGTCCATTTGTTTCTTTCGTGCAATCCTTGCCTCTCCCATGACCTTTTTTCCCATTACCCTTCCAGGTTGAATTCGCCTGGCATTTTTCTTCCCTTTCTTCTTATGATTGTTGCTTTTTTCATGTTTTCTTTTCTTAATCAAATTCATCACCTTACCATGTACCTGGCTGCGCATTTCCATCTTCCCTTGGGGGGGACATCATCAGTGCTGTAACTATTTATCTGTGGTGGTATGTACTCTGTTCATTTTTCTTTTTTTCTTCAGGGACCTTTATTGAATATTTGGATCCCATTCTGTGGCGAGTGTTGGTTGATCGACTCCATCCATGTGTCCTCTGCATCAAAATATAATATCATAACACGTCATAAGATTATGTTACACACATAAATATGTTCATCCTGGACCACACACTTACAGACTAACATGTGATGTTGAGGCTCTTCCTACCGTGTTCCTGATGTACAATTCCAGTGCATTTTTCTCCTCCTCCTTCTAGTGGAGTATGAGAGACTTTGCTACTTCTTACCAGTTCCTAGCCACTGGAGTGGTGGACCATGGAGGCCTGTCCTCCTGAGTGTGCACAATACTACTCAGTTGAGAGTTGGGCAGTGCCACTCTGCTGGTGTAGATGGTGTAACTGATGATTAATTTCAGATGCTGCCAGGTGTTGGATGTAGCACTCCACCATATATTGCAGTTTGCCCCTGGATCTGAGGCATCTTCCTTCTTACTCTCTGCCAGATGTTGGTTGGAGCCAGACCAGCCACGTAAGTCTTAACATGTGTTTGGATGGTATCCTCCACCAAACGCAGACTGAATGATAACTTCCCTGTGCCACCAGTTTTTGGACTGGAATACTACCCAAAATATTGGTTCTTCTACCTACCATCCACAGGATGTCAGTTCCTGGTGGATCTGGTGCTGGTTGTAGCTGGATGAGACAAGTGAATTCCTGCATGTGGAAGGCTGGGTACCATCCTCCTACCATGGACTAGACCAAAAATTCCCAATGCTGCCAGGTTTTTAGACTGCAGAGGAATACCCACCTGGGCTTTACACCATCCTATTATCTGTCAGATGTTAGTTCTCAGTAGATCTGGTGTTGGAGGAGCATGTTTGGGTTCTTGGTATGGTAGCTCTTCTTCCCTGCCAGTAACTGTATTTTGAGGTTAAAGATAGAGGAACTTCTTAATACCATATACCTGATGTACAATTCCAGATGCCACCAGGTGTTGTTTGAGGTTGAACTCTCAATTACAACTTATCGTGCCCTAGCCACTCAACAACAGGGGTCCCATCGTTTCTTTCTATTTTTTGTAGGGATCCCTCAATGTTTCCATCCTTTTTGATGAGGCATTACTAAAAGGTGAAGAGTATACCTGGCTCAGAAGTAATGCAGTCTCCTACGGGTGTGTTGTTTTAAATTATTTCTCACACCCAAGGTTTTCTTTTTTGGTGCTTCTTACAGGGAGTTCATCTTCTCACCAGCCCTCCACTGGTTCAATGTGGGATTCTAGTCTTTTGTGATTGGAGGTAAGATATTGTCTTAGAAGTTAACATTTGCCTAAACTGAAAATATATTTCTGATAGATGCTTACCTTCTCTCACATTTCCCACCCATCTTCCCCATTTCTGGTGTGGTTTAGGGTGATCTGACAAATCTTGTGGTGGTTAACAGCTGCAAGCTTAAAAGGGCATTAGTTACAATAGGGGTAGTGTCACACTCCTATTTGTAGAGTGTTGCTGTATAGTCATTTACATGTTAGTTGCAGAGATAAGTGGGAGTATCATGGCTAGTGGCAAGTGAAAATTTGTGTCGATAGAGAGCAGTATAAGTCAAGAAAGTTTTTTGTAAGAGGAGGGTAAGTATCTATCAGAAATACATTTTCAGTTTAGGAAAATGTTAACTTTAAAAAACACTTTTATCATGATGAAGTGTATGCTACATTTTATATAGAATCCTTGTAGATGAAACACTCAAAATTTATATAAATCTAGTTTTCAATGGGAAAGATAAAGTCAATGGTTTATAAATACATTTGTTAAAATATTTTTCTCTGTTTTCATGAGAAACAATGGTTAAAGTGCTCAACTGCATTCAGATCCTGTTTTTATTATAGTAGACATGTTGATAACACTTTTACAATTGTTTAAACATGTAAAAAAGCTGAGAACTTTCTGACCTATTTAAATCAACAACATGGTAACATTAAATTTACAGATGAATATGAGAAAAACAATACTTAACCATTTTTAGATGCTCATCTCTTGAATAAGGAAGGTATGTTTACTACATCTTCTTACTATAAACCTACCTTTACAAGATACACATTCTTAGCTGACCATGCTCATAAATTAATTAATAATAATGAACTGTATCATACTTTGTTGAATAACTTTAAGGAACACCTTTGTAAAAATACTTTCCTTATACCTCTATGTGAAAAGGATATCAACAAGGCTTTCTCCTGTAGACGTTTGAAACTCCTAGATTACACCAAGCAACAAAAAGAAACTTTCTCTGTTACCAGAAAAAATGCAATTGTTTCTAAGTAATCTGATAATGCTTATTCTAAATATTATGTTGAAGATTACTGATCACATCCAGTTTTTAAGAGTTATGATAGATTTATTCAAAATATTCTTATGTATTGGGAAAATAACGTTATTTATTCATTGAAAATTGCATTTAAGAATGTTCAAAAACAATACATGATAACAATACCAGTTTAAAAAAGCAATGAGTATGATAAGATTATATACTGAAAATACATTAAGACTATGTTCAAAACTTTCATCATGGTTTTTATTTTATTTTTTGTTACAAAATATCTGCTTGACTTGTGCCTTTTGAATATGTTCTCGTTTCACACTGTAAGAACCAACAGTAATCTCCCATCATCGCAGAATTACATCATCCTCAATATATCTGTTACATTGTAGAAATATTTTGGTAGAAGTGCTCACCATGCTCTTCGTTCACTGCTCTTGATCATTTGGAATGAAGTCTTAATGGAAGTGTAAGAAGTGAATCTTTAGCAACATCCTTGACCCCAGTTTCCTCATATTGTCAGTCATTGCAACATAGTTTCATCTCAATGATTTCATAAGAAATTTTTGACAACCAATTTGAATGATTTTCAGGCAGCAAGTTCTTTCTGATTGAGTACTCTTTCAAAATCATCATCCATCAGCACTTCCCGAATCTGTGGCCCAACAAAGATACCTCCTTTTATTTTTGCTTCACTTATTTTTGGAAACTTGTCAAACAGATACCTGAAACCATTACTATCTTTGTTTATTCCTTTTACAAAATACTTCATGAGCCCTAGTTTAATATGAAGTGGGAGCAGAAACACATTTGGAGGATTCACTAAAGGATAATACTTGATATTTTGTTTCCCTGGTATGTAATTCTCTCTCACTGGCCATTCCTTCTTTTTCTATTCTTGAGGATGATGTTCAGTACCTAATTTTTCCATTAGTGCATCAACATTTGTACAGAAACACAAAGTATCTTGCATGCTGTAGTGAGAAGCAAGACTTTTATGGCAACTTTGATAAATTGAAACTCCTGTTCCTAGAGCTAATAGAATCCATTGCTGTAAGCAAGAACCAAGAAGTTCACCATACTGCTTTGATAGAGACAAGTCACAAATAAGATCATTTAGCTCTTTTTGTGTGATCAGATGAGGTAATTTATGTTGAGGTGCCACAGGAAAGAATTACTAGGTGAAGAAGATGAAAATCGTTCAATGTCTTCTTTGCAGGATAACTCTTCTGTTTCCCAATTCACTGGTGGATGTGGTACTGGAAGATCATCCCCATCAGGTACGGGTTTCATTGCAGATGCAGTATCTGGATATTTAATGTATTGTTTAGTTTTGCCTGAGTATTGAGAAACATTAGTCATGCAAAAATAACAGTCAGTTAGAGGATCTTTGGGCTCATGCCATATTATGGGAAATGCATGCAAATGGCATACCTGTTCTCTTCTTATTCAGCCACTGTGTCAAACCAGATGTGCAAACTGTATAACACACACGTGGAGCCCACTGTTTTTCCTGGTCACCAATTCTACACCCAAAATAGTGGTAGTAAGCTATCTTTACCTTGTGTATGATGTTTTTCCTTCATGAAACTGTAATATATTTTCCACAAATGTAGCAGAAACTGTTTGAGGGATTTTATACTTTCAGACTTTACTTGAATTGGAGGCAACTAGCATTTCAAATCATTTTCGAAAAGAAATAAAATAATTTATGTTTACAGAAATAGAGTTTAAAAGATTTTAAAAACAAAGTTTTGCAGAATTTGATTATATCACAGGTATGATGCAAAGAAGAATATTGGACTTTGTTTTGATGTGCACGGAGAGAGGTGAAGTGACCAACTGAGTGAGTGAGAGGCAACTGAGAGAAAGTCATCTGACTCTGTCTCTTTTATGCTCAGTTGAAGGACTAGAATTTTACACCAATACAATACACTCAGTGTTTGAAGTTATCAAAGCCTTTTACATATTAAACTGTTTAAGTAAACTTAATTTCTGACTACATTTTGGAAATCAGCACTATGAAATTACCCCAAATCACTTGAGTTTTCTTTAGTAGCAAATTTTTTGTTATCCAGTGTTATTAGTGGGTGGTTCATTAGCCATGTGAACTCTTTTGTGTTTGGAAGTTTTACATGAAAAGTTCAAGAAGTAGCTGATTATAATGTTGACTGTAAGTTCTTGTCTAAAAAATATGATTAAACATTGTCAGAGTTTTATGTATATGGGCCTGGATTCTTTACAGTAGGTGGCTGTGACTTGTTGGTGATAAATTCGAACAAGAAACAGAGAGCACACAATCCACTTGTTTTAAAGTAATATATTCAAAACAAGTCACTCAGTTAAAGTAATGTTTTCCCTCACTGTCTACTGCTATTCAAGAGTGAATGTTTCCCCAGCTGGCAACTGTTATATAAGAGCAGTTGTTTCCATAAATATCACACTGCTTACACAAAAGTAAATGTTTGCTCAATGGTCACTAATATAACAAGAGTGAATGTTCCACAACTGCCCTCGGCCAAATGAGAGTGATGTTTCGTCAATTATCAACTGTTATAGAAGAGTGATGTTCCTGTTAGCTCTTTCTTTCTAAAGGAGAGTGAATTTGTGCAATCTTAAATATTTTTCTACTATTTTAAGAATTAAGAATTTGTTCTTAAAGTTAGTTTTTTATACTATCAGCTTTAATATTTGTTTCTTCACCAAAAAATGAATTTCAATGTAGAATCCATGAATGTTGTTAGTGGTGGGTAAAGGACTATACATATACATCAAAGCCTATAAGTTGTTTACATTCCACCACAATATAAAGCCTAGCATATTTGTTTCCTTCATTCTCCCAAGCAGTATTTTTGAGCCATGAATTTGGTTGAAACTAATCAACTGCAGAGAGAGTAGCAAATTAAAGAATGGAATAGGCATTTACGTTATTCATGGATTTTATCTTTTCTTCAATGAAATTACAGTTATGGTGAAGAAAAGAAAACTTTGCAAATATATTACCGGTTAATCCATTGAATAATTAATTGTGATGGTATATCCATATTTAAACACTAAAAGTATCTTAGGTTATTAGTGGTGAGTAAAGGACTATATATATGAAAACCTACAAACCTTAATGTTTATTAAAATGGCTCTGAACAATGAATGAAGTGCTTTGCAGGTATAATTAATTGTGATGGTATAGCCATATTTAAACACTAAAAGTATCTTGCATTATTACAGGTGAGTAAAGAACTATATATCAAACCTTAATGTTTATTAAACAGGCTCTAAACAATGAATGAAGTGCTTTGCAGGTATAACACTTTTACTGAAAAAGATGTCAAAACTTTCAAAAGAGTAAATCTAAGTGAAAGTAAATGAGAATATTATTGTTGAAAAGTATAGCTTTTACAATATAGTTGAAACTGAAATGTTCTTGAAAATTTGTTTAAGTGGTATCTTGTTAACAAGTGCATGTAGAATTGAACAAGATGTCTCAATTACACTTTCTTCACAGATTCTCTCTGTGGAAACAGTTTTACTGTAATGATTGCTTGTGCCAGTCCTGCTGATTCCAATCTGGTGGAAACTGTAGACACATTACGATATGCTGATCGTGCAAGACAGATTAAGAACAAACCTGTTATTAACAAGTCCTTAATTAAAGGTGAGCCTAATTATTTTTTTTTCTTATATGAAAATTTGGTTTCAGTCCTTTATAACCAAGTCAGATGAAGAATATAGACACAGTTACACTAACACTTGCATGAAAAATACTTTAACATGCTCCTCCAGCCAGTGGTATAACATATATTGTTACTCTCATAATACATAAATTCCACTTTTAACAAGAATAAAGATAATGTCACATCAACAGTCACAATTTCAGTAAAAGCAAAACACATCCTTATCTTGACAGATGAATTACTACCAACAAATGTTTTATTTTTTTTTTTTTTTTTTTTTTTTTTTTTTTT